GCGGACTTGCTACGCTGATGGCCACGTTGGTGGTGGTTGTGGTTGTGTGCTTGTTGCTGTTGTCTCGACCGAGCATTGTCGACCGGGCCAAGGACGTGAAACGAACGACGCTTATCGGCACTCTGAGTCGACATGGGTGGCGGTGGCTAATAGTGCGTTGTTGTTGTTGTTGTTGTGTGTTGTCCACGTATATGTGATTGTGTATACCCATTGAGGATAATTGAGGATTCCGTCAATGTGTGGAGCAGAGAGTATATATGGGGATTGGGGAGGTTGCGGAAATGAGTTACATTGTTGCTTCCCGAGAAAAACCATACAAAAAGGTGCTATCGTATTGAAAAGGAGAGAAGGATAGAAAAAACTTACGTTCTGTTCTGGAGGGTCAAACAGACCGCGGGTGCTCTCTGGGGCCGTTTGGTGTTCCAGAGTTTCGAGGTCGTGTTCCATGACTTTTTCAACGAAACTGTGTGAGTAGGTAAGTGAGTGAGTGAAGTGAGTGTTGTTGGTTTTTCAAGCGGAAGAAAGGAACGACCGAAAAAAGAGATAATAAATGGCGGAAGAGGAAAATAAAGAGAAACGACGGTCTTTTAAAGAGAGAAAGAAAGAGAGAGAGAGAGAGGATGAATGAATGTGTTGTGCCGTGCGTGTATTGGCAGTGAAATAAAAAGAAAAGCGGGACGAAAGAGTAACTGAAAACGAGGTGACTTTCATAGTATGGGTCTGCTCTTGTTTGGATTACACAAGAAAAGGTTATTTACCGCAAAACCTTGGTTTTTTTTTTTGTGCTCTTTGTGTTCTTCACAAGGCTGCACAAAGACAAAGGGTTTCAACTTGCATTGAAGACCGGATTCCACTCTCAAGAAGACTTGAAGACCAAGTTGACGATGATCTTGGAGGAAAAGAAGAGAGAGAGAGAGAGAGAGAGCTACTACTCGCATGATTGTTGCTATATATGCACAACCAGAGTGCTTCTCGATATAAGCTGCTGATGAAACATGCAGTCAGAGCTGGTATATCATAGCCTAGTTTTTTGTATTTCCGCATCCTTGCATATAATCTATTTTAACGCACACACAGACAGCGCAGACAACAGGGTGGTACGACCATTTTACATGTTGGCTAATACGTTATACAGTGCTTCCAATAAGTGATGTCGCAGCCTATCAAAATTGATATCGCTTTGTGAGTTATATTTAAAAAGTCGTCAGCCTATCAGAACCAAATTCGCGCGTACAGAAATGGGAAGTCTTATTTTTAGTATTTGAAGATGGGCATGAAAATGGCGTTGATGAGAATGAATTTATTGTCGAGACGATTGCAACTCATACTGGATACTTGAGAGATGCAACCCAACAGTGAATCGTCTTTGAGTTGTCCAATGTTGATAGAAAGGCCAAAAGAGGAAGATGTCCGTATAAAGGAAGCAAATACTAAAAGAGATTATGTGCGCTACACTGTCGAGTGCAGCAGCAGCAGTAGCAGCAGCAAAGCAGTCGGGGATTCACACTCGAACTGCTCAGAGCAATATAATACGTTCCCTGATAGTATTTTCTTGAAAGTTGTGAAAAAGTGGGTGTTGGGTGTATTTTGACGGAAGAGCATAATATGACTGTTATCAATTTCATCGATGCTAATATCCTTCTGCTACTGTTGTTGAAACGATTCACTCATCTCAAGGTTTCACGCAGCACTGTTTATAACTTCATGAGATGTGAGTGCAACCTTGCAACCTTCTCCTGAGCTTAATCCAATAGAACAATTCTGGGCGGTGGCGAAGAGTAAGGTTAAGCGTCATGGTTTTGGCAATAAGACACTTTATCAAAAAAAAAATTACGGAAGCATGTGAAAGTGTGGATAAAAGTCACTCCAAAGGGTTCGTTTCGCATTCTTACAAGTGTTGGAATGTAAATGCCCAAAACAAGGACCCCATGTAACGGCTGTAACGGCTTCAAGAACAATATATAATGCAGTGATAAAGAAAAGTTAAACGAACAGGGTATACATTTTTAGTATCCACGCGTTACAAATGTGAACAAATGTAGAACTTTGGCGGCAATGCACAGTTGTATCAAAGTTTGAGCAGGAATGGCATCTAATGCACGTGGTCACAGATGACTTTTAAAGCAAATATTGCCAAATGTTCTCCGGAAAGTAAAGAAAGCTGTGTTGGCATATATATATATATATATATTAATTTGGAGAGGCATAGGCTGAGATATTCTGCTAGCAATGGTATTTTGGTATAATTCGATACATGGGGTTAATATTAATTATGTCGACGTTTGAGATGGCATGGTCGCTTTCGATCTTTTGATACATATCAAGGTACGGTGGGTGTCTTGCGATCAATGATAATCTATGGGTCATTGGAGCGCACACACAGACGATCAAAGACGTTCATTACAAACAAGATATTCGATACAGCCACTACAAGATGCGGTAGACTCTGCCGACTGTCCGGAATCTTGACTTTTTGCCAGTTGTAGCAACGTGGAAATGCCTTCTGCAGGCAGTAGCAGAACGTGGGAAATTAGAGTTCTGGCCTCTTTGGAGACAGTTGGGGGTTCAGCAGTAAAATGGATGTCGCTGCCCAATACCACATGCACATGATCTTCGAGAAACACTTGCCACTTAGTACTGCTTGAGGGAGCTTTGCATTTTGTTACAAAGCTTCAAAGGTATCAAAATTGCCGGCCATCAAATGCTTACCAAGTGGAGGACCAAAAAGGAAAAATCAAGAGTGAGCAGTTCATCGTGCTGAGAGCGCTTGACAAAAGTGCCACCCTGCTGAAGGTTGTTGGGTTATTAATGGCGGTGCCACCGTCGTTATCAACGGTCGCATCATTGCTGTTTGTTTCCAAGTGTCATCTTGTGGTTGACCATTAGCGGAGGCAGGATTTCCGTTGTTGGACTCTCTTGGGGGGGGAAGAAGAAACATCGTCATGATGTGGTCAGTAGGGTTCCGCACGAGACGAATCCCACCGATTCTATGAGGGAATCGAATTGGTGTTGTCCAAGTAAAGGAATCGAATCGAATCGTCTCGGTAAGAATCGGTAGAATCGAAGAATCGAATCGGATCTTCAACAACAGTCAATATGTAACTAAATAGGGCGTAAGCAAAGAAGTGCGCGGGAACGCGATGCGCAGTCGTTTATATATGCACAAAACCGGGGTCAACTATTGAAGCGATAGAACCAAGCAATTTTCCGTTCACATCCTCCAAACATTAATGCACATTTTCCTCTCCTTCAAAGTCTGGGCTCAGAGTGCTTCTAAAAAAATTGAGTCATTAAAGAGAGACGCGGCAATGTTTCGGACGACACGGGCGGTCTTTATAAAATGGACACCGCATTTTAACAGGAATGGAAGTATGAAATGATGTTATTCATACCAAGTACAGTGACAACCGCTTTCACAACTGTGAGTATGATATCAGGAAAATAGCATCAATCGTTAATGGCGGATCAAAGAACATGTTTTTTTGATAATGGTGTATACAACAATAATACCCATTTTTGAGGATTACTACACGAGCTGCAAGATTGGAAGCGTCGTGACCATCACAGGGAACATACAATACAGTATACATCATTTTTGTAACATATATGGATGTTGCTTGAGCTTTAAACAATATTGTACAGTAAGGACGATCAAGTTTGTACATCTCGATGATGCCTGTTCTTTGCACTTGGTTATTTGATTAGTACCTTGACAGTTGTATTGATTCCCTTGAAAACAATATGTATTATCTCAGAAAGCATTCCTGTCTTACCATGATACTCGGTTTTACACGTAAGCATCAATATACGTCGACATTCTTTCTTCGAGCCACTGTCTTTTGCACTACACGGTTTTGCCTCGGCCTTAAGTAAGGGTACATCTTGGCAACGGCACCATTGACCAGGCTTTGTGAGGTCCAGCCTATCGCTGCGAGAAGGCGATGTACTAAGGACTTGATGATTGTAGATACGGATATTGAAGCACTGCGGTACACAATGCGTGCGTCGTTATCTGGATCCTCCAGGAGTAATGTATGACCATATCCAGCGTTTCAACGAATTACACGTCGGAAAAGGTGTTCACATCATTGAGGTCGTCTACATCCGAATTTGTGCTAGATGTGTCAGAAAAATCGTCTTCAAGACACTATTTATACGTGATTGGTTATTTTGCTTTTTGACAACGCAGACAGCGTTGGACGCGAGAGAGATTTTCCATTGGCCAAGAATATCAGTCATATTACGGCTCGGTAGGGTGATCAAGATGTAGGGTATATAGCCTTATAAGCTAGTAACAAGTAAAATATCTTATTTTTGTTATGTCATGAGTTACTACTATCACTACTAATGACGGCGCTGTAGGTTATACTATATAGTATGAGTAGCATGAATATTGCTTGCTGCGGTTTGATTCGTCACTTATTCTAGGTAAAGTGTTATACCCATCCCCTTTGTTCTTTCATTCCATCAGCTTATATAAACTGTATGTACTTTGATCGCAAGTTCCGTAAGCTTAATGTTTATTTGTAACTATAGCTTCTGACCTTTGTGTACAATTTTATAACTATGATATAGATGGAATTTGTCTGTTTTCAATTAAGTCTTTCCGAAAGGATGCATGCAAGTCTGATTCGCGAATCTTTCATTTTTCTCTTAACGCAGATTCACTCCAAACCATCTTCACCATCCCGCTCCAAAAAGCAAAATAAGAAAGCTTATTTTCATTCTTTAAGATTCCAACACATCATCACATCCCTATTTTTCCCCAGCTCAAATTGTACTTACGTGATACAGTGAATCCCAGCTTTTTTCAACCATACTTATTTCAATACCCTAACTCTAGGTTAAAGTCGTAAACTTGATAAATGTTTTCAATACACCCCTCACTACTTTTCCATTACAAGACGAGCATTTAAGAATTGAGTTTTTTCTACTTTAAGTGAGTAACGACAAAGTATATATGTGCTGTCCATACTGTTCTTTTTTCCGGTAATCTTTTATAGTGTTCAATGATGTTACTGCATTGTATCGACAGTATGTTTTGTATAATGGGCTGGGTTTGACATCAGGGGTTACCTTTTCTTAATCAAAACATATTTTTCAATGAATGCATTATGTACTTGTCCTATAAAACAGAGAACATATGTTGTTATGAAAATCGATTACAGTAGTAGATCGTATATGAGAGAACCTCATAAGATTGCTTAACTTTTGTGCTGCTTCCTTCACGGAAATAAAACGAGACTTTTTCTTTTTTCAAAATTGCTCAAGAATGGCAGCCTTGTATCATAGAAATAAGCGAGGATTCACAGTGGATCAGTATTCTGTCATTATTCCCCAGAACACATACTGTACAAAGCCACTTTCACTCTCTATACTAGTTTTGTTTGGTGAGAAGAAAATCTCACATACACAAGATAGTCTCTCAAGCTTGATGTGCTTCCCTCTCCCGCGCTTATATCAAATAAAAAAAGGTTGGATCAAGTCTACTGTCGATCTTTTTAAACTTGATACATATCTACAAAACAAGACCGATCGTCAGTGTTACTCGTCCTATCTAAATCATACATCCCAAGCACCGCTTTCTAATAACATCCGCAAAACCCTTTACCTATAAGATCCAAAGTGAAAGAGCTGACGACGAGTGAGCATACATATTACTACGATTAGTTCAAGTGGATGTTCGAGTTGGAGAACAAGATAGATAGAAATAGAGTTTTATGTGCGCTTAAATAATGCAAACTGTGTGAAACATACTAATGAGATTTTGTACTCGTTAAACCAATCTCATATCATGCTTTAATCATGCTGATACAGTAATACCATGATAACATAACTCCTATAGCAACAGCAGTGGTTTAATACACAGAGTAGATATTTTATCATAGAATTAAAAGTATACATGATATTATCTTACATATTATAATTACAAGTGGGAAACTAATGCTTGAAAGTACTCCTGACAGTGGACGAAGTACTCGAGCTGATTCCTTCGCGTCTAAATTTGAGGAACGTAGCCGACAATCTCGAAGATTACAGCCTCGACGCGTATGTGCAACTTGACGACGATATGTTGGCGTTGTCAGATTCGCAACTTGTGATCAACATCCGGGATTGTATCCAGGCTGTTGACGGATACCATTACTACGAAGCATACCGAACAGAACCACGAAGAAAGTTCGGCTATTCTTTCCTTTTTCGATGCTCGCAAGATTTCCATGTGCAGGATCAAGCAGCCGTTCGTTTACAATTGTATCGGCGTATGCCAACTTTCTTGTGCAATGGCCGCATCAGTGGCATGGTCGGTAGAGTGAATGGTTACTTCCACTTGAACATCGAACACTCCTGTGGGCATGAGGCTGCACCTGCCGTCGAAAATAACGCCGTCCCGCAAAATGTACGTGCATACATCGCTGCAAATGCCATCGACTTGGATGCACAACAGCTGCATCGTAACATTATCCGTCAGTTTCGACAAGAAGCGACAAGAATAACGCAGGGGCAAGTGTATTACTGTGAGTGCCAGTCAATCTAAGACCAATATACACTGCACGACACCAGTTCAGATCGGCAGAGACGCTCGTCGGCAGAGCCGCTGACAAGGGTGTCCGTAAGGTATGTCAAAATGTCCTAAATAAATACTAATACATGCGAGGATAGTGTATATGTTCACTTCGATGCGTTGAGAAATAGACAAGAACCATTAATATAGAATCAATAAAATTCAA